GGATGGCGGGGAAGAAGAACAAACTGGGGAGGAGGGTGGAGAGAATGGTGCGGCAATGAAGGAGTGAAAGCCCAGAATCCCTGTGAATGTTCACTGAAACTAATAAAATTTAATAATAATAAAAAAAAACCAAAAAAAAACGGCACCTGAGTCAAGTAACCCAAGCAAAAAGGGGAAATTTAAGGTTGGCCAACTGACAGTTGGATGAACGCCTCTGCCTATCCTCAACTCTAACTGTGTTAAACAGGAAAAACCTTTCACCCAGAGCATACAGCAGTTGAGCTGAAGACAGGACAGCATGTTTCTGGTAGGTACCACCTGCACTCACAACCGAGAATGATTATGGTATAACTAACCAACAGAAGAATAGTGATTCTCAGATGTAAAGATACTGCAAACAACTTATGGTGTCAGAACTGACTCCCAGCTCACCTCCCAGCTGCTTTTCAGAGACTGTGAACAGCACAGGAGGAGACAGTCCTTCTATCTCCCACAGAGCAGCAAGTGGATTTGAACTGCTGGCCTTTACGTGATTTTTTGCTCTTTTTGTTTTTGGTTATGTCTTTGCGAGGATTCAAAGGAGTAAACAGCACAGCTAAACTAACGAAATAGGTCTGAAGACTACATAGTGCTTTAACTACATTCTCAGAGCCTCTCTAATGCACTGAGGCTGTAGCTCACTGCAGATTTGATTAGTAACAAAAAAAAGACGATGACTAGGGAGGACAGAAGAATCAGTGCTTTTGAACTGAGATACTGGAGAAGAATACTGAAAATCCTATGGACGGACACTAGAATAACCAAGGAGGAGGTGCAACCAAGGTTCTCTGTAGAGGCAGGGATGGTGAAACTTCATCTCACAGCCTTTGGGTATTCTGTCAGAAGGGATCAGTCCTTGGAAAAACTCAAAGAAAGGTAGGAAGTTAAATTGATACAGTCACTGTAACAACCATAGATCCAAAGTTGGTGCAGGACAGAGCAAGTTCAGATAGGAGGATGGTTAAAGGACTGCTCTTTCATAGTCACCTCCACAACTCATAACAATTCTAAGCAGATAAATAAATCACCATGGTTATAGACAGTGTAAATTACTTACAGAGACATTTTCTCCAGATTTGGTTAACTTTTTCTTCAATCTTTTCCTTTCACGTATTAGATCATTGTGGGCTTTGAGCAACTCTTCAAAGCGAACTTTGGTTTTTACTTTTGCTTCACTCTCAACTACAAATGACAGAATGACTTAAGTCATTTTTCTAGACAATTCTATTATAACATACATCTGCATTATTATGATGTTAAGAAATACAGTCTTGTAAACGCCTGCATGAGGTATCCAGCTGCATCAGAACTGACCACTCCTTTTTTCTAAGGTGATACTTTATTGACCCATGTTTCTTATTTCTTACCTTGTGGATCACTCTAAGTATCCTTTGCTACATTAACTTTCTCTTACTTATGATGCATTGTAACATCTTTTACTGTTAATTATGTGAGCTTATGAACATCTCCAAACTTCAATTTCTTTGTATGTAAAATCACTGCTAACACACATCTACCTGACAATCAGCATTCAACAAATATTTTTAAAACATCTTTGAAAATATAAACCAGGAAATGTTATTGTCCTACTTAAGCATCATTTCTCATGTCACTGAGGATAAAGTGAGCCCTTAGTGTACCTGACAGGGTACAGAAGCATGTCTTTATTTTGCTATCTCTGTACAGCTTCAAATCAAGACAAATATCCTTTCAGATCTCCCCATTTCAGCCACAGTATCCTTTTTCTAGCTCTGGTGACACACTGTATTACATATGCTGGTAATCAGAAAGTCAAAGGTTCAAATCCACCAGCTGCCCTATTGAAGAATGATGGGCAGTCTCCTCCCACAAAGACACTGAACCTTAGAAACCCAAAGGTGAAGTTATACTAAGTACAGACTTATCCATTCAGTTAAGCATATTGGCTACTTTTATGTTACACCAGCAGGTGTAAGTAGTAGCAGAAATGAACTGTTGCTACAGAAACCAAGTTCTACAGTATTTATTACCTGGCTCTTTAAGAAGAAACTTGCAGATATCTGTCCTAGATTAAAACATTCAGTCTTGATGGCAAAGAATAAAAATTAAAGATAAAAATGTAATTATCATTTATTTTGCTTATCTGGACCCCACATTACAATCAGTCAAAAATTTGCTGTTGTTTCATTGGTTGTTGTTATTGCTGTTAGGTGCCATCATGTCGAGTACAACTCACAGAGACCCTATGAACAAAAGATCTGAACCGTGTCCTGCTGTGCCGTCCTCACACTTTTTGACACACAAGAGCTCATTACAGCAGCCATGGTATCAATCCAGCTGGTTGAAGATCTTCCTCTCCTTCGTCGACCCTCCACCCTTCCCAACATCATGTCTTTCTCTAAGGAACAGCACCTCCGAGCAACGTGCCCAAAGTGTGTGAGGTGAAGCCTCATCATTCTTGTCTCCAAAGAGCATTCCAGCTGCACCCTCTCAAGACATACCTGTTCTCTCAGCCGTCCATAGGATGT